TATTATTATTATTATTATTATTATTATTATTATTATTATTATTATTATTATTATTATTATTATTATTATTATTTTGCTTCAAGAAGAATTCTTATTGTTGGTGAATTTTCCAAGCTGGTAATCATAGTCTATCCAGATCTGGATGGTGAACAGACCCATTCTGCTTATAAGGTCTGGTATCCCTGGCAGTTGGTAAGTATCTGATGCTATCTGAAAAAGTACTGAAAACCAAGGCTAACAAGGTCACCAAGGGGCAACAAGAATTATGTTGGCTCTTTCCTGATGCAATTTCACAACCATCTTTTGGATCATTCGAAAAGGTAGAAAGAGGCAAATGACTTTTCTGGACCATTGCATAGTGAATGCATCCCCCAAGGATTTTCTCCCATGACCTGCCCTAAGAAGTATTTTAACAGATGTGCCCAATATTTGCAAACATCCTTGAATACTGGAAGAGACAATTCCCATTTGTGTGTCTGCTTTAGTGACTTAACTGGTCCACTATCTGACTGTCTTCTCCTGCTATATGGACGAACACTGGAAAGATGTGTCTCTGGGCCCACAGCTGGACTGCATGTTAAAGAAGAGCCATGGAATGAATGCACCCTTGCTTGTTTATATAGTACATCATGGTTATGTTTCCCATCTCCATCTGTACTACTTTGTCTATGAGTAGAGTTTGTAAGTTCTCAACACCTCTAGCGCCACTAGCATTTCTAACTTCTCAATGTGAAGCTTTTTATCTTCTTGAGATCATAAGGCATGAATTCATTGTCTTGACAATGGGCACTCCAACCCATAAGACTGGCAACCATAGTTATGAGAACAGTGAGTTGTGGTTGTTTGAAAGATTTTTCCATTGATAAATTATCCACATTCATCCACCAAGGGAGGTGGTCTGTTAATTCCTGGGTGAATAGGAGCTTTTTCTAGTTGTTGTCTTTGACGCTGTTGAATAAATCAGGAACCAAGCCTGCAGGGACCTCATCTTTAGTCTATCATGAGAGATCACCACTGTGGTGAATTCCATGTAGCCCATCAAACTATGAGCTGGTTGTGCTGTTACCACTGCCCCTGCATGAAATTTCCCCACCAAGGACATGATTCTCTCCATCCTGTCATGAGATATGCTCTTTCCATTTTTAAATTCAAAACTGCTGACGTACTAAATCACTCCTGTTAATTTTAATTGTGAATTTTGAAGATTTACTCAAAATCCAAGATCTGACATCAGATTTAGCATGAAGACTAACATGCTTCTTTTTTGAGCCTGTCAAAACCAACTGCCCATATAGGGAAAGATACTGATTCCATGGATTCTGCAGAAAGCTGCTACTGGATCCATGCACTTGGTGGAGACTCCAGGTGCTGCTGATAGACCAAAATAGAGTAAAATTGAAAATCCTGTTGCCCAAGGCAAAACATAGGAAATGACAGTGGTCTGGTCAAATAGAAATGTGGAAATATGCACTCTTGAGGTTTATCATTGCAATTCAGTGTCCTTTCTTCAACAAATGCATTATTGCAAACAACAATACCATCCTAAACTTTTTGGTATTTATGAAAGAACTGACATTTCTCAAGTTCAAAATAGATCTTAGGCACCTATCCTTCTTTGGAACCATAAAGTAATGGGAATAACAGCTCATGTCTCTCTCTTCTGGCAGGACAGGTTGTATTGCATGCTCTTGTGGTAATGTTGATATTTCTTCCTCCAATATTTACAATGGAGGCATTGTCCTAAAGTAACCGGTTGGTACAAGGACAGAAAACTCTATTGCAAAGCCCTGGGCAACAATGACTAGAACTCATTAATCAGTAGTGTGGAAATGTGGCACTAATGTTGGTAAGGAATAGTAAAGACTCAAAGGGCGTTAAACTCAGTGATAGAATGATCACAATTCTGTCTGGATTTCTTTTCTGGTTTCTTTGATGTGGTTGAAGACCTACATTTAGTATGTTGAGATAAATGACTATAAGACTGTGAAGTTGAAGAAGCTGATGTTCTTTGATTCTCTGTTGGTGGTTTGTTTGAAGGATGTGAATATGAACATCTCCCAAATTGTATTGTTTTTGCTGTTGATACTGTGATGAGAACATCATTCTCTTAGCTGTGTTCCTCTTTTTGTACAGGTTATCAATTCCACAGTCACACTTGTCAAAAAACAGTCATAATTGCTTTGTTTTTGGGTAAGAAGTATTTAACTGATGAAAAAAGGAATCAGCCTATGGGATCTTCCTTACTTGGTGTCACTTTGTGAATGATAGCGAGCACAAGAGGGCATCCTGTTGATCAACAGTTCCTAACCTTTTCTTAACCATGGACTCCTTTTAAATATTTTTGTTGCCACAGACTACCAGAACTTAACTAAATATTTAAAACCCTAAAATGCATCAAACATTTGTTTAAAGTTTCTCATGAAGGGTCTCTTTGACAGGTATTCCTTGCTATAATGGTAACACTTTTTAAGATGACTGGAAGAAACTTCATTTTGCTTTGAACAGGATAACCCTCATCAACATCATCAGTTCTTTTATGTTTCAAATTCAGCCAGAGATTCATTCTGAGGCTCAGCCAAAATGTATTACGAAGTTCACTGTGATAATATTGAAAAGTAATTTTACCCAATAATAACCAAATGGTTTTATTAGCACAAATAGAAGAAACACGATCATGAAGTCCATTATCCAAACAATCACTCACACTGAAAGACTGACTCTTACTCTCTCTCTTCCCATGGCTTCTGACTATCTGCACAGTAGCAAGAAATATTGTGTGCTGTCTCTCAGCCACTCAACGCCATTCACTTGCATGTTCTCACCATGTGCAGAAATATCAAACTGTTATTTGCTATCAAACTGTTATTTTCATAACTGATTTTTATTTGTTTGTTTTTAACAGAGGCAGTAGGTTAGAAAAGCCAACTTTTACACAAGCAAGCAAGGGAAATTAAGATTTCTTTCTTTCTATTTTAACTTCAAAAGATCATAACATATCTTCAAGCCTTTGTGATCCCCCTGTGAGGACAACACAGCTCTGCGGGGGTCCATGGGTCTCAGGTCAAGAACCTATGCTGTAGACTGTCTTGACTACTGCCATTGGTGCTATCACCATTCAGTCTACTCTTTGCTATGTAAAGCTTGGAATATTATTTCCTGATGGCAATGCAGGCACAATATCATGCAACAATATTGGTCCATTTCCTGGCAATTTCAACCATAGATACAGAAGCACAATATCTCACATTCATAAACTGGAGGGTTTTTAAAGAATTGCATAGAGAAATAAAGGCGAGAATGTAAATTGTCTGTCATATATTGCTTGGCATAACTGATGCTTGGCATAACTGATGCACATTTGTTAACTGAGCCAAATATTGCTTGAAAGCATCACCATAAAGGGTTTTCAGTTGAAAAGCACACCAAAGTATATATACTGCCCAGTAAATGTGTTACTTACATCAAACTGAGCAAGAACAGTTCCAGTGATGAGCCCCTCTGCCAGCTGAAACATTGATTCCCTCAGTGCATTATCATCTTGGTGGATTCCATCAAGTGGAGACTTCTCAGGGATGTACTGAAAGTCTGGCTCAGTTTCCAGCTTCTCTTCCACCACATCATAAACAGCTACATTAAACCAGAAAATGTTTGATTACTGAGGAAAAAAATTCCAAACAACTGCAGACAGCTGCAATAACAAAAACTAATTCATTCTTTGTAAATAAAGGATTTTAAAAATATGCGTATCTTTCATACAGTATAAAAGATCAATGGTACAACTATTATAGGAAAGTTTGAAAGCATCCAAAAGTTAGCTTTCCATTAGCTCCCCAAATCTGCACTGTAATGAACTCTAGCCATTCAATGCAGATTAAAGAAGCACAAAGAGAATTGAGAGAGGTGGTCTTGCAACAGGTATAACTCTTCCCATGGCTTCCCCATAGATACAGAAGCACAATATCTCACATAATCGCTTCACGATGTGTTTTTTGCAATTGCTATTGCGATCGCAAAACGATGATTGAATGGAGTTTTTTTGTTTCACGATGATCGGTTCCCTGCTTTAGGAACCGATTTTTTGCTTTATGACAATCAGAAAACAGCTGATCATTGGGTTTCAAAATGGCCACCCACTGTTCAAAATGGCTTCCCGCTGTGCTTAGGACAGATTCCTCTCATTACAGGCATCAGAAAACGGCCGCCCTATGGAGGATCTTTGCTGGACACTGAGGTATTTCGCCCATTGGAACGCATTGGGCGGCTTTCAATGCGTTTCAATGGGCTTTTTACTTTTGCTTGACGACGATTTCGTTCTACAGCTATTTCGCTGGAATAGATTAATGTTGTCAAGCGAGACACCACTGTACAATGAAAATAGGTAAAGTCAAATAAAAAGCTCCCGTCTCCTCACCCCATGTATTTTTACTATCCAGAGGTGAGAGGGCTAAAATCAAAGGTATAAAAGACTTAATATTTACTAGACTGCATGCTATCATTTAACAATTAACCTGCATATATCTCCTGCCTAAAAACAACATGTGTTGCACACGTTGTCAGTGTTTGTGGAATACAAACACATTATATTAGCCATGACTGGAATTAAAATGAAACTGCGAAAAGTATAGGGGCAGAAATTAAAGCGTTTACCAAATTCTGCATTTCAGAGTCGAAT